GTCATCAGGGCTGATTTTTCTAGAACGTTGCTCCATCAGCGTTTCAGCCGGTTCTTTGAAGCCTCCTCTTGGACGTGGGCGAGATGAGGCACTGAATGCACCGCTCGGGGCTCCTGTTCCCAGGCAGCTGCGGAGAAGTATTTCACTTTGGAGCAAAATGAAAGAATTGCCTTTGGCACAGCGAGCCCATCTCCCCCCTGGGCAGCACAAAGGGAGGCGCAGGAGCATCTCCGGCCTCACCGCCAGGTGGGGGAGGGAGTGACAGGGGCCACTCCGAGCCCAGGTGTCTCTGCAGGAACCCACTTCCCCCTTCTCCATGCTGATGTCACTTTCTTGCCACTTTCTGCCCCACGTGCCTCCTGAGCTCTGGCTNGGCGTTTCAGCCGGCTCTTTGAAGCCTCCTCCTGGACGTGGGCGAGATGAGGCACTGAATGCACCGCTCGGGGCTCCTGCTCCCAGGCAGCTGCGGAGAAGTATTTCACTTTGGAGCAAAATGAAAGAATTGCCTTTGGCACAGCGAGCCCATCTCCCCCCTGGGCAGCACAAAGGGAGGCGCAGGAGCATCTCCAGCCTCACCGCCAGGTGGGGGAGGGAGTGACAGGGGCCACTCCGAGCCCAGGTGTCTCTGCAGGAACCCACTTCCCCCTTCTCCATGCTGATGTCACTTTCTTGCCACTTTCTGCCCCACGTGCCTCCTGAGCTCTGGCTCCTGCTACCTGGAAGTCCGCATGCGTCCCCTCTGCTCTCAGCCCGAGTCTCGGGAGGTCCTTCACCTGGCGGGGGACCAGGTGATGGGTGTCCGTCCAGGCCGCTGGGAATGTGGGGGTGACCTCGAAACAGACAAGCTTGTCTCTCTTCACTCGGGGAAAAAAAAGACGATTGTCACGCTGAGTAAGCTACGCTCCATTAAGACTTTCCACTGGGGAATACTGCTGCTGATTTTGTGAGGAAATGGTTCACCTGAAGTCCCCAGACAAGGAAGACTTGGGCGCTGTGGCCCCTGTCCCGGGCTCACCCGCGGCTCCTCACACCCAACGTCAGCCTCCTGCAGGCGCTGGAGCAGACCAGGCCCTCGGGCTGTTGCTACGATTCTTATTTACTGCTAATCAAGCCCATTTTGTTTTCAGTAGGATGAGGTGGACCCCAGTGCATAAAAGATGAAAACCAAATACAGCAGTCCCCCCACGCCCAGTTCCACTTCCAGTGGTCTGCCACCCACGGCCACCGAGGCCCGAAAACACGGACGGAAGGATCCCAGAAACAAACGGACACGTGCTAAGTTGCCCTCACTGAGCAGCAGTGAAATCCCGGGAGGCCCGCTCCCAGCCGCGACGTGGCTCCTCCCTCCCGCCTCAACTCCAGCTCCACACGCTCCGCCCGGGGGCACCGAGGGGCCTCCTGGCATCAGCTGGCCGCTTGCAGCGTCGCAGGGCTTGTGCTCACGTCACCCCGACTTTTCCTCACAATGGCCCCAAAGCCCTGGAGCAGTGATGCTGGCAGTTCCCATGCATCCAGGAGAAGCCGGAAAGTGCTGTCACTGGAGGTCAGGTCCGCAGCAGCCTGACGTCACCAGGCCCATGTCACTCACCTGCCTTCATGTCCTCCCCTGGGCCTGGTGTCATCTCAGAGCATCCCCAGCAGAAGGCGGGTGCAGCACAGAGAGCTCCTCCCCCAGCTTTGCAGTCAGGCGAACTGCCTGGGTCATTTCTTAATTTTGATAAGTGGTTTTCTACAGAAATGATCACCCACAGCGAGTAAGGATTTGAGGGTAACACTTGGTGTTAACAGCATAGATTTAACATCACTCAGATTCTCACTAGGATTTTTAATGTTTCAAGTGATATGGTTGCCAAGTTCCATTGGTTTTACATGGTCTGCCTCTAACCCCCTTTTCCCCGAAAGTCCTATTATTTTTAGCTTGTGTTTGCAGAATGCAGGAGAAATGTACATATAGTGTTTTATCTGAAATGCCTATGGTGGGTAATAACAGCCACATACAAATTTAAAATAAACCAACAAAAAATCCTTAACTCTGTCTCCACTCCTGCCTTCCCCCCATTCAGCCTCCGGTGCAAACACACAGGGTCAAGAGGGAGTGTGGTCAATAGCATAAGACAAAACTGAGTCACCTTCTTATTCTGATACGGACCAGCTATGTTAACTCAGGTGACGTCACCTCCCTGAGCCTCAGTTTCCTTGTCTGTGAAACAAGGTGGGTAGAAAGGCCTTTCTGGAAACTAACTAGAGGCCAGGCAATCTTGGTGAGCAAACCCAATAACCAGTAGCTGAGGGTCCCTGAAGCGGCCTTCACTGAGGACAGCACTTTCTCATAGGGACCAGGCATCACCTGTGCGGGTGCCCAGGGCCTGAACCAGAACCTCCCGGTTGGGGCCAAGGCCAGAAAACCTTCAGAATGCCCACAGGTGACGCCCGGTTGTACTGCTTCAGAGGATGAGCGCTCCTTGAAGACAGCTAACTTCCCTCGTTCTGACTCCACAGCCAGTAAGCAGGTGAGGGCCCTGGGGTGAGAAAGCCTGGGTCAGGGGGCAGGAAGTCTAGCCTACTTGACAGCCGGAAACAGCCAATTGAAATTCTGTGTCTATTCAGCATGCTTAAATTCACTGAGCCTCAGCTTCCTCGTCTGTAAAATGGGCATAGGAATAGCCCCTGTGTCACAGAGTTTCAGCGAGAATTATGAGTATCACATGAAGCGTGCTCAGAACAGCGGCTGGCACAGAGCAGCTGTCAGAGTGACTGCTGTTGGTATTGTACATCAGGCTCTGTTAGGTTGGGTCCTGTGACTTGTCTTCGAAAGCCAATGCCGGTCAGTGTGCACTGAAGCAGCTGGAGGACAAGACCCAAAGAGTGGCTAGTTTAGCATATTACTTAAGGATTGTAGGAATGACTGTGTCCGTGCCTGACCAGTCCTAGTACACAGTGTTCCCTCAATCAGCATAGTCCCTCTAACACCGCAAGTCTAGGAACTGTCAGCTGGAAACCACGCATTGGGAAGGACTGCCTGGCCGCCCGTCCAGGAAGCCCATTGCTGGGCTAACTGTGACTGTAAGAGAACCTGCAGCCATCTCATTCCCATTGAGTTTCTGGATTCAAATAAATTCAGCAGAAGACTGTGGTCTTACCAACTGATAATGTGATTTGAAATCAAGTACCAGACCCACTCTGGGGGGCCAGGAGTGTCGACACCAACCCTTTTCACTTGTAAAACGCCTCGTTTTTCTTCAAGATGCATCCAAATCCCACCTCCTCTATGAAGCTTTCCCCAACTGCCTCAGGCTGAGCCGCTCCGCCAGCTACATGCCTGTGGCCGCGTCTCCATCTCAGTAAACAGGTTTCTGTGTGTCACCTCCATGCGACTGCAGCTCCTCCTGTAGAACAGGGCCTCAGCGACCTTTGTACACCTGCAGCCAGAACCGTGCTCACGTAGCAGGTGCTCACGGAATTGTTGAATCAATGCAATTCGTTCCCCCTTTTTTAACCTAAGCCTGGAGCTAAGGCAGGTAAACCTTCAGAGCCCTTCCAGAGGCAGAGAGGAGTCAGCCAGCCTGACACCTCGCCTCGCCTCCTGGAGGAAGCAGAAGCCTGCCGGAGGTAGACACCGACGCATGAGACACAAGTTCCACCCTGATGGGAGCAAAACCCACATCAAAGGAGAAAGAAGAATTTTTACTGACAACTTTACTATTATTGACAGCATTTTGAATGAAGCAAAGAATTAAAAAATATAAAAGATAAATATTTTTAAAATCACAAACGGACAGCAAATTTTAAAAATTACTTTTCTGATCACCCAGAAAAGACAATGTTTATTTAATAGTAAACAGCATTCGGGCGAGTCTGGTCACCGGGCCGCGAGGCCTATGCAGCCACACTGCCTGGGCCCTCAAAGGAGAAGGAACAGCCAGGAACGGGGAGAGGCTCTGGGGGGGCAGCAGGGCGCCAACCAGCACAGCAGAGCCAGCAGCTGCCAGGAGTGGGCTGGGCAGGGCACGGCTTAGGGGTCAGGGGCAGGTGGGCATGTCAGCTCCTCTGGCCTTTAGAGGCATCACCAAGATGTGAGAATCCAGGCAGCTGCAAACAGGCTCCTGTGCGTGTTCACTTAAATCAACTCATCCTGATTCTCCAAACGAGCAGACGGGTTTGGGTGGGCACCATCTTTGTCCGCAATCACACCAGGGGGACCAGAGACGAAGGCCCAAAGCAGGGGCGAGGTGCAGGCCCTGCTCCGAGGGGCTCCGGCTCTAATGGGGAGAGACGTGTGCTCGGGTACCTGTGCCCTTGACTGGTGATGGGGGTGGGACACCAGGACAGAGTTATAAAATTCACAGGGGCTTGAGATGGGCCGGGGGCAGCTGGGTGTTGACAGGCGGAGACGGGCGCTGCGTGGGCAGCCCTGCGGGCAGGTGCAGGCGGCTGGAGGGGGCCCTCGCCGGGGTGTCTGAATGTGCACGGAATCTGTGGGTGATGAGCCTGGAAGGAGAACTCAAGGCCAGGCCAGGTGGGCCCCAGAGCAAGGAGTTCACACTGAAGCTGGATAAATAATAGGGAGCCCTTCTTACGCTCCCTTATTCTTTCATTCATTCGACAAAGATGTATTGCGTGGGACCCCTCCGCCTGGCGCTGGCCTGGCGCTGGGCTCGCTGTGAGCCGGCAGCCCCTGCTGTCCCGCTGGCTCTGAGAAAGCTGGAGGCTGCAGCCTGGTCGCGGGAGCAGGAGCTGGGGACTTGGAGGCAGGCAGGGGGTAGGGGTCACTTGCATCAGCTCATCAGGCTAAGCTGCGCCTCTGCCTCCGACACGGCGGGGGGTGGGGTGCAGCGTCAGTGCTGGAGGGGATCAGGAAAACTGCTGGAGCAGAGAGGAGGCGGGGAGGCTGGGAAGGACCCCCTGGCCCTCCTCGATCCTGCAGCAGGCCCTGGTCACCCGTGGGCAGCATGGTCAGGGCACTGGCGTCTGTTGCTCCCCTGGTTTCTGTGCCTGGAGTCCTACACCTCTTCCTGCCTCCTGGAAAGCTCCCTCAGCTGCTCCGGAGGCTCCTGGTAGATGGACCGACTCCTGAGGCAGTGAGGACAGAGGGAAGTTTTGGCTCAGGGACCTGGGCCCAGTGCTCCTCACGACCTGCCATCCCCACCCAGCCAGCTGCACCCTGGGCTGAAGGGTGGGCTCAGGGAGGACAGGGAGTGGCCCAGAATTGTTCCACTCGTGAACTGAGGGCATTAGGGGAGCAGGCTGGCTCCACGGGACAGGAGGGACTGGCCGGTGACAAAGCCTCCAGCCACACTTGGCCCTGGCACCCACAGGGAGCCCTGCCCCGAGACCCACGGGCCTTGGGTCAAGTCTGGGACTGCAACGCCGCTTCAGGGCGTGCTCATGAAAGTGACATCTATCCCCTGATGTGAGGAGCTAGGACGAGTCTTCCCAGTCTGCCCAGACCGTGCCACCCGGAGGCCCCAACACTCACGGCCTGGCCTCCTGGTCCTCGTCCTTCTCCCGGCAGCAGCAGCAGTAGACAAGGACCCCGATGAGGATGAGGGCCGCCACCACGCCACCAGCGATGCCCGCATACAGGGCCACGTTCATGGAGGCTGCGAGGGACAGAGCAGCTGCACCCCCAGCCCAAGGAGCCCTGGCCTGAGCCCAGGCTGGGGAGCCGAGCGTGCTGGGAGGGCCCCCGCGGCAGCCAGGGCCCCAGGCAGTCCCTTCCAGTCCCCAGGGCTCCCGTCCTCTGAGCCCAGAGAGCCAGCCTCTGGGAGCCCTGCATGAAAGGCGGCCTGGTAGGAGCGTGACAGGGGTCTGCGGATACTCTTCTGCATGGAGATGCAGACAGGGGCAGATGGCCCTGGCTTTGTGTCCCTACACTCCCTGGGCTCCCTGGGCTCCCTGGGCTCTGGAGGATCCTTGGCTGTCAACCAGGCAGTTCCTACTTCCACTTATCCCTGAGCTGGTCAGTGTCCCACCCAAAGGGCTGTGGCGGTGGCTCTGGGCACTGCTTCCAAAGAAGCAAGAGAGCCAGACTGGCCCCCAGGCAGCAGGAGCTGAGCACAGGGTGCCCGTCTGGCCTGGTCACCCCAGCTGCCGGCCAGTGGGCACCCGAAGGAGGCTGCGATTCCTCCCCACCGCTCCTTGCCTCTGTCCCTCCATCCACACTCAGCAGCTCTTACGAGGCCTGACGGTCACGGTGATGTTGCAGGACTCGGTCCCCACCTCGTTGCTGGCGGTGCAGATGTAGTAGCCCGACGTGTCTGTGGAGATGTTCCTCAGAGACAAGGTCTGCCCCTCGCCTGGGGAGGAAGGCCTTTGGGTGAGGAGAGGGGCGGGGAGGGGAGCCACAGCGGAGTGGAAACAGCCCGGAGCTCGGCCCGGCTGCACTGGGCCGGCCTCACCTGCGGTCTGGAGCAGACCCACCTCCAGGCTGCAGGACGGGGGACCAGGCAGGTGCGCGACTCGGGGGGCGTATGGTACAGGCAGGCGCCCTGAGCTTGACGCTTGCTACTTATCAACCCTGTGCCTCTGGGCAGGCAACAGCCTCACTGAGCCTTAGTTTCCTTATTTCTGAAAGGAAGCAGTGCTGGTGCCTGCCTCGCAGGGCACTGTGAGCATGAGGTGAGGCACTGACCACTCCAGGCCCACAACAGGAGGCCCGGCCCGTGGCGAGTGCTCTGTACGTGTGGTGTACAGCATGTGCCGCGTGAAAACGCCTTCTGATTAGGTGCCACTGTGACCCCCTTTGTGATCTCCAGAAACCAAATCCCTTAGCTGGGACTCAAGTGGAAGAAGGCATTAGAAATCAAGAACTCTGATCTCTGGGTTTTCTGCCATGAGTAGTGTGTGTGTGTGTGTGTGTGTGTGTGTGTGTGAGCATGAGTATATATGTATATGTGAATGTGTATACGTGAGTGTGTGGTGTATGTCTCTGTGCTGTATTTATGTGTATATGTGTGAGTATATGGTGTGTGTGAATGTGTATATGTGAGTGTATGGTGTGTGTGTGTATAGTGAGCGTGAACGTGAGTGTATGTGCGTATATGTGTGGTGTGTGAGTGTGTATATGTGAGTATGGGAGTATGTGTGTGCGTATGTGAGTGTGTGTGTGTCTGAGTGTGCATATGTGTGTGTCTGAGTGTGCCTATGTGAGTGTGTGTGTCTGAGTGTGTGTATGTGAGTGTGTGTCTGAGTGTGTGTATGTGAGTGTGTGTGTCTGAGTGTGTGTATGTGAGTGTGTGAGTGTGCATATGTGAGTGTGTGTCTGAGTGTGCGTATGTGAGTGTGTGTACCTGGGGGGCGGGGAGACAGCTGTCTGTCTGGACTCTTCATCGTCCGCCACCCACGTGGGCCATTTAACTTGTGGGAGCCACAGCCCGTGTCTGCAGCGGGAGCGCTAACCCTGACCCTCCTGAGTTCAGGGGAGGGTCCGAATGTCCTCGCGAGTGACCTTCCTGCGGACTCTCTGGCCCTGTTATCTCCTCACCTCGAAAGGGAGAGCTTGGTGCTCAGACGTGTTTGCGTGTCCTGTCCTCAGAGAAGCTTTGTTGTAACTGCAGCTTTGAGAGGGGTTAAGAGGCCTTTGCACTCTCATTTGCCACAGAAAGAGCCCCCTGTGGTCCCTGCTGCCACCAGGTGGCTGCACACCATCCAGAGATGTCCCACATTGCAGGTAGGATCCAGCCACGTTTCAGAGGCAGCCGTAATCTTAGTAACAAGGCCAGGCTCCTGCATCATGGTCCCAGGGGCACGGACCGGCCCTGCCATCACCCCAGCTTCACCTCTCGCAGGACTCATTTCCCCTGTCTGGACGAGCCAGTCAATACGCTTCCTCAGGTACCAGGCCCCTGATTCTCCCAACAATCTCGGATGGTAGACGGAGCCAATATTTCCGTCTCCAGTGTCCCAGAGGTAACTGACTTGCCCAAGATTACAAAATTAAAAAATGATAAGTCATTAACAAAAATCCCGTTTTAGGTCCAGAACTTTCTGAAGCAGCTGACAAATTTCTTTGAAGAAATTATAAAACCAAAGTAAGCTCATTATAAAACTCGTACAGGACATAAAAGGACTATTTCAATTCAGTCTGATCCAGAACAGACACGCTGGTCCCATTAGCTCTAAACAAGGTGAAAGGCCCCGGTCTGGGAGGGCGACAGACATGGCACTGCGGCGACTGCAAAGGGCTCCAAGTGGAGCGCATGGGAGGGGAATGTGACCACCGCCACAGGGCGCGGGAAACCTCTGTAAAGAACGGGCTAAAATTAAAACCATCCACTCCCTCCCCAGCTGGAAATAACAGCTGGTGATCACGGTTATTTTCTTCCCCTCTTTCCTGGAAGCCCAGGGCAGTGTTCTCTGGGTGCTCGATCTCCCTAAAATACATCCTGGCATCCCTCACCTCGGGGTACTCTCTGGCATGTTGCTCACCTGGGTTATTAACATACTGAAAAGAGTCCATGTCCAGAATGGGTTTAGAAATTAGAGTTAAGGGTTAAATATGTAGTGTCTGGGTGGGATTTTTTAAGACACACCTTGAAGGAACCCACTTTGGGAAATGCTCTCTGGCCCTGGACATATTCGCGGGCAAACAGCCCTTACCCGATTCCCACTGCTTTAGAGCGTGAACCCTGGCCTGCTGAGGTGCGCACCGCACCCTGGCGGAGGGAAGGCTTGCTTAAGGAACGGGACGTGGGGCTTCCTACTCAAGTTAGCACCATCCTTCCCTGGCTCCTCAAGAAAGCAGCGGGCATCGGGGGCTGCCCAGTGCGTACCCGGTATCCCAGGAGCCGCTTTTATTCTAAGTTGGGGTTCCCAAACCCCCTTTCTTGGGAAGGACCCAATAGTTCAGAAATCAGGCTAAAACTAACGTTTCTGCTGCAATGGTGACATCTTGTGGCCAAACAGGAAATGCACAGAAGGGCGCCTCCCGCTCCCCCTGCTCCAGCTGGGGAGAGATTTCCCTGCAGGGGGGCCCTGGTCTCCCCTGGGCACTGCTGTCAGTTGACAGGGTTTAACTTTCCTGTTCCCCGCCCCATGGTAGTCAACTAGTTCTTCAAAGTGCCCCAGCCCCCAGAACTACCCCTCCCTCCCTCCCCGATACCCAAATCCCTACTCCTTTCCTGCATGATGCCCTGGTTTACGGAGGATGTTCAGAGATACCACACACGGATCTCCTCTTACCCTCCTCACAGCCTCCGGG